GTTCGAAAGTGAGACCCTATTTGGAGGCAAAACCTGGGAACATTCTCTATCTATCTATCTATCTATCTATCTATCTATCTATCTATCTATCTATCTATCTATCTATCTATCTATCCATCCCCTAGAATGCCTCTAGGTACTGGGAGTTGTAACCCATGGTCCAAAATACTCGTATTGATGCAAATCTCATGCGCTATCTCTGTTCGAAAGTGAGACCCTATTTGGAGGCAAAACCTGGGAACATTCTCTATCTATCTATCTATCTATCTATCTATCTATCTATCTATCTATCTATCTATCTATCTATCTATCTATCTATCTATCTATCCATCCCCTAGAATGCCTCTAGGTACTGGGAGTTGTAACCCATGGTCCAAAATACTCGTATTGATGCAAATCTCATGCGCTATCTCTGTTCGAAAGTGAGACCCTATTTGGAGTCAAAACTTGGGAACATTCTCTATCTATCTATCTATCTATCTATCTATCTTCTATCAATCTATCTATCTATCACATTCCTCACGTTCTCCGTAGCCTCCGACGCGCGGCTTCTGGCTTCTGTCTCGACTTGTGATTTGTGTCTGTTTCCCCGTCTCTTCGCTCACGCGGCTCCTCTTGATCTCATAGTATGTAGTAGATGCATCTCTCGCTATCTTTGTAGTTTTACCGCTTGCTCCCCCTGACTCTGTGCTATCGTTTTAATATCCGCTATTCGGTCTTAGGAGTTTGTGGTCTCTCATTCTTCTGAGTGGACCTAACCATGCCTAGTGAGTAAATACGGCAATTCCTTGTCCAAACTCTGGATAATGGTGCCATACCCTGTTGCTGGTGTTAAACCATATTTCGCCTTCCCTGTTGAAAGCTCAACCAACCCAAGCCTTCTTGCACCGAAGGCTTATCCCAGGACAGCCTCATTCCCCAGGCGTTGTTTTGCCTTATGACCAACTCTTTCCCTCCCTCAAGTCAACTCGTGCCTTGGGAATTCTGATCTGGACACAGTGGTCCACGCTCTTGTTACATCCCGAATAGACTACTGCAACGCACTCTACGTGGGGTTGCCCTTGAAGACGGTTCGGAAACTTCAACTGGTCCAGCGAGCGGCAGCCAGGCTGCTCACTGGAGCAACATACAGAGAGCACACCACCACTCTGTTGTGTCAGCTCCACTGGCTGCCGGTTCAGTTCCGAGCCCAATTCAAGGTGCTGGTTTTGGCCTACAAAACCCTGTACGGTTCCAGTCCAGCATATCTGTCCGAACGTATCTCCCTCTACGTCCCACCCCGGAATTTAAGATCATCTGAGAGGGCCCTGCTCTCGACCCCACCGCTTTCCCAAGCGAGGCTGGTGAGGACGAGGAGCAGGGCCTTCTCAGTGGTGGCCCCTCACCTGTGGAACTCACTCCCGGGGGATATCAGGGCATCGACATCTCTCCTGTCCTTCAGGAGGAAGGTAAAGACATGGTTGTGGGACCAGGCCTTCGGGAAATCTGCTAACTAGGTAAGGACAACCAGACAAATAGGACCGACATAAATAAACCCGCACCTTGATCTGCTGCTGGAGCTTCTTCAGCGTCTTGACAAGCTCGCTGTTGTTCTTGTTGGCATGGTCCAGCTGGATCTCCATTTCGTTGAGGTCCGTCTCCATCTTCTTCTTCAGGCGGAGCGCCTCAGCCCGGCCTTTGGCCTCCAGCTCCAGGCTGGACTGCAAAGACTCGAGGGCGCGCTGGTGGTTCTTCCTACCAAAGGGAAAGAAAAAGCATTGATCAGGCAAGTGGGGTTTATATCCCTGTCGAATGATGCCCAAGGTGGGAGAAAGAACTCTTGTCTGCTTGAGGCAAGTGTGAACGTTACAATTGAAGCTGCAAGGCCATGCAATGGCCTGCATCAATAGGAGCCTAGTGTCTAGATCTAGGGAAGTCATGCTCCCCATGCTCTATTCCGCCTTGGTTAGACCACACCTGGAATATTGTGTCCAATTCTGGGCACCACAATTCAAGAGAGATATTGACAAGCTGGAATGTGTCCAGAGGGGGGCGACTAAAATGATCAAGGGTCTGGAGAACAAGCCCTATGAGGAGCGGCTTAAGGAGCTGGGCATGTTTAGCCTGAAGAAGAGAAGGCTGAGAGGAGATATGATAGCCATGTATAAATATGTGAGAGGAAGCCACAGGGAGGAGGCAAGCTTGTTTTCTGCTTCCCTGGAGACTAGGACACGAAACAATGGCTTCAAACTACAAGAGAGGAGATTCCATCTGAACATGAGGAAGAACTTCCTGACTGTGAGAGCCGTTCAGCAGTGGAACTCTCTGCCCCGGAGTGTGGTGGAGGCTCCTTCTTTGGAAGCTTATTAAACAGGGGCTGGATGGGCATCTGTTGGAAGGCGATTTGATGTGCCTGATTGTTTCCTCTCTGTTGTTTTGCTGTAAACAATCAGGCACATCAAATCACCTCTTGACAAAAGATTCCCCCAGGCACTTCCAAGCCATCCAATGCTAATCAAGGTGGTCAGTTGAAACATTCACACCTAGCTCCAGCAGACAAGAGTCCTTTGTCCCACCCTGGTCATTCCACAGATATAAACCTTTTTCCTAGTTCCAACAGACCTCACTACCTCTGAGGATGCTTGCCATAGATGCAGGCGAAATGTCAGGAGAGAATGCCTCTAGAACATGGCCATATAGCCCGAAAAAACCTACAACAACCCAATAATTATAATAATAATAATAATAATAATAATAATAATAATAAACACAGAACCAAGATTAAACTACCGTAAACACAACCCACAAGTTCCAAATTCATGGTTAAATATTGACTAAAACCTGCTGGAAAAGATAGGGCTTCAATTACGGCTGGATCTACACTACCATACAATCCAGTACGAAGCAGATAATGTGGATTTTATACAGCTGTGGAGAAGGGGCCTTAGAGATTGCTGGAGAATTGTTTTGATTTGGATTTTCCTGACTCCTCTAATTCCCCTTTTCTCTCTCCCTGCTTTCTTGCACATCTCTTGGTTGTCTTTCTCCAAGGACGATACTCTCTGGTTTGCCTCCTGGGGACATTCATTTGCACTGTACCTGGTGGCTTCAAATTCCTCCTCCTTCTCATGGATTCTCCTGTCAATGTCCGCTTTCACCTGAGCCAGTTCCAGCTGAATGCGGATGAGTTTGCTCTCTTCCACCTGTTGGGAGGGAAAAATAATAAACCCCATACATGGAAATAAGACAGAATGCAAGCTTCTCAAAAGGCAATGCAAACAGCAGGGGAAGTTTGGAAACATGGTGATCTCTGGACAGAAATTATTCCTCACATCACCCGAGTCCCGTGGCTGGAGACTTTTGCAAACTGTGGTCCAAACAAGACACTGTTCCCAGTTTCCCCAGTCTTCATCTCAAATGAAGGTTACCTCGAGGGAAGACTCGGCTTCTTCCAGAGCTACTTGGAGTTCATCCTTCTCGAGCTCCAGCTTCTTCTTCATCTTCTGCAGCTCGTGCACACTCCGGCCACCTTCACCCAACTGGTCAACGAGATCCTTGATCTCCTCTGAGGAAGGGGAAACGCACAGAGTTATTGGAAGGGAGTGTCCAGCCCTGCGGCCAAATGAGAAAGCTTCAATTGATTGGCATCATTTGATCTTGGTGGCATTATCCAATGGACCTCAGCCACCATGCGCATAGAGAGAAGTGGAAGAAAGGGAGAAAGGACTGTTATGCTTGAAGGAACAGCCTCCCTCACTCATGTTCCTTCATGAGCCATTCAGCAGTGGAACTCTCTGCCCCGGAGTGTGGTGGAGGTTCCTTCTTTGGAAGCTTTTGAACAGGGGCTGGATGGCCATCTGTCAGGGGTGATTTGAATGCAATATTCCTGCTTCTTAGCAGGGGGTTGGACTGGATGGCCCATGAGGTCTCTTCCAACTCTATGATTCTATGATTCTATCCCTACCAAGATGCGGCCAAGAACTAACTAACTCTCTCTCACACATGTTTGGATCATGAATTTGAAACTCATATCTTGTGTTCACTATGCACTGGTTTGTTCATGTCAGGAGCTGTCATGTATTATGTTCTGCAGTTGATAGTGGTTGGTGGTGGTAGGTCTACCAGCTGGTGATGGAAGGGTTAATGTAAGTCTTAGTTCTAAAGGGTTGAGTAATCTGTAAGTAAGAGTTCATGGGTGAAAGCAATTAAGAGTGGAGCTACGCAAGAGATGAGCTAGCCTTGGGACTGATCTTTGGGAGAAAAGTATTTGTTTTATCTTGGTGGTAGATGCTGATGGTTTTCCCCCAGGTTTGTGGATTTTCAGTATCCTGACCTGTCTCCCGAACCTTTGGGATCCTGGAACCTTGAATCTCTGGACTGGCTTCTGATTATGGTATAGACTCTTGATCCCTGGACTTGCTCATTAAACTTTCGGCATTTGACCACTGGACTGGACCTTTTGACTACGGTGTTATCTTGAACCTGCAACAGTGTTTGCTGTTGCAGGTTCAAGATAACACCGTAGTCAAAAGTTTTGTTTTATATTCTGTGGCTGAGTGCTATCTTTATGTTTTATGTTTTGGACTATTAAAACAGCCAGAAAGTAAGTTCTGGTTTAATGAAAATGTTTAACACAAACTGGGAGTTTGGTTCATCTCTGCCTAAATATTGTCAGAGCACTGGCAACGTGACAGGAGCGACCTAAGAAACTGCAAGTTTTTTCTGGTGTGAGAGAATTGGCCGTCTGCAAAGACATTGCCCAGGGCATGCCAGGATGTTTTTTGATGTTTTACCATCCTTGTGGGAGGCTTCTCTCATGTCCCCACATGGGGAGCTAGAGCTCAAACCATGAGGAGAGGCGGGTAAGAAATGAAATTATCTATCTATCTATCTATCTATCTATCTATCTATCTATCTATCTATCTGTCTATCTGTCTATCTGTCTATCTGTCTATCTGTCTATCTGTCTATCTGTCTATCTGTCTATCTGTCTATCTGTCTATCTGTCTATCTGTCCATCTGTCCATCTGTCCATCTGTCCATCTATCTATCCATCCATCCATCCATCCATCCATCCATCCATCCATCCATCCATCCATCCATCCACCTACCCACCTACCCACCTACCCATCTATCTATCTATCTATCTATCTATCTATCTATCTATCTATCTATCTATCTATGTAACAGTCTGTTTCCACTGTCTACAAACTCTTGGGTTCCATACCAATCTCCAGAAAGCCATTGCTAAAGAAGGGGAGAGCAGCAAGGAAGAACTCCAGCTATGTCTATAGGATCTACTGAAAACATCCCCATAGCATAAGGTTTTAGTTTAGGAGGCCAAGCCTAAATCCAATTATTTGTCCCAACTACGAGCCCGGATGTACTTGCCCTGGAGGGTCTTGTTCTCTTTCTTGACGGACTCCAGGTGCTCCAGGGACTCCTCGTAGGCGGTCTTTAGCTTGAAGTTCTCCGTCATGTACATGCGGCATTCCTTCTGGGAGCTGTCCACCTCCAGCTGCAGCTCCTCGCACTTCTGCTGCCACTCCGCCAGCATCTTGTCGAAGGCTCTCTGCTTCTTGTCCAAAGCCGCACAAGCTGCATTGGCCTGGAAGGAGGAAACCAAGGAAGCCATTCATTCACACCAGGCCTGGTTTGGGTCCCAAATCCCTAAGCCCAGTAGATGCAGAGGATTGACTTTGTTCCTTCCTCCTTGACTTAAAGTCTACTGCCTAAGCCAGCCTTCCTAACACAACACCCTCCAGATGTGTTTGTTGATCAAAATATCATGAGTTCGAAGCCAGCCCAGGTTGGAGTAAGCTCCCAACCATTTATCTAGCTTGCTGTTGACCTTTGCAGCCCGAAAGACAGTTGCATCTGTCAAGTAGAAAATTTAGATACCGTAAATTAACTAATTTACGACGCCATAAAACTCTCCAGCAGCGTGCAAAAGAATGAGGAAGTACTCCATTGATGCCACAAGTGGACAGTTAAGCAACAGCTCCCCCTGTGGCCGGATTTTGAAGCACACCCTCATGAAGCTGGAAAGTTAAATAACCTTCATGGTACCGCTTATGCGGGGAGGCTTAATTAACTAATTTACGATGCCATAAAACTCTCCTGCAGTGTGTAAAAGAATGAGGAAGTACTCCATCGGTGTCACAAGTAGACGGTGATGCGACAGCTCCCCTGGTGGCTGCAATTCGAAACATACCCTCTGAAAAATTAAATAGCCTCTGTGATACCGCTTATGCGGGGAGACTAATTTAACTAATTTACGATGCCATAAAACTCTCAAGCAGCACGTAAAAGAATGAGGAAGTACTCCATCAATGTCACAAGTGGACGGTGAAGCAACAGCTCCTCCAGTGGCCGGAATTCAAGCTGGAAAGTTAAATAGCCTCTGTGGTACCGCTTATGCGGGGAGGCTAATTTAACTAATTTATGATGCCATAAAACTCTCCAGCAGCATGAAAAAGAATGAGGAAGTACTCCATTGATGTCACAAGTGGGTGGTGAAGCAACATCTTCCCCGGTGGCCGGAATTCAAGCTGGAAAGTTAAATAGCCTCTGTGGTACCGCTTATGCGAGGAGGCTAATTTAACTAATTTACAACGCCATAAAACTCTCCAGTAGCATCCAAAAGAATGAGGAAGTACTCTATTGATATCATAAGTGAACGGTGAAGTGACAGCTCCTCCGGTGGCCAGAATTTGAAGCACACCCTCATGAAGCTGGAAAGTTAAATAGACTCTGTGTGTTCGTCTATATATGTTGTGTGTCTATGGCATTGAATGTTTGGCGTGTATATGTGCCTTGCGATCTGCCCTGAGTCCTCTGCGGAGTGAGAAGGGTGGAATATAAATACTGTAAATAAATAAATAGATGCTTCTAGAACATGGCCATACAGCCCCAAAAACCTACAACAACCCAATAATAACTTTATTTGACCCACCTCCATCTTCCCAAAGGCACTCAGGGTGGCTTACACATTGGGCAAAACGCAAATAAACACCCTGCAACTACCAGTCGCAGAGGTCCAGAAGCATTGTCCTCTGAGCAATCTCACCTTCTCAAGGTCCAGCGTGAGATCCTCCACTTCCATCTGGAGCCTCTGCTTGTTCTTCTCCATGCTGGCCACCCGGGCTTGAGCCGATTCGGCCGTTTCCTCTGCCTCCTGGAGCCGGGCGGTCAGTTTCCTCCTGCGAAGAAAGAGGGCAAGAAAGGCAAAGGGAAGAACAAGTCAATGGGGCAGAAGAAGGCACTGCGCTGACCATCATAACTCTCCTTCACGGATGTATGGGAATGCCACACGACGGGCACGGTTGTTATGCACGCTCGCTGAACATGTTTTTATTTATACACTAAGAGTTTTGTATTCCATGGAATCGCTCTGAAGAATTGAATGATGCCACTCTAGTCATATTTAAATCCTCCAGAGCAATTGTATGGTGTGCTTCATCCAGAAGCTCAAGACATATTTCATCTCATGTTAATATTTATTTGTTTGTTTACAGTATTGATTTTCCGCCCTTCTCACCCCGCAGGGGACTCAGGGCACATCACAATGCACTTATACATGGCAAACATTCAATGCCATTGTGACGGCGTGAGTGGCACCACCTATGTGTAGAACTGTTAGTTGCAAGATTTAAACTGTTGTATCATACTTAATCCTGCCTTTTTACCCTGCTTATGTATAGTTGGATTGATTGGTTATTTATAGCTGTCAATCAGTATTGTTTGGCTCCACCTCTTCCTTGAGGAGGGGAGTGCTTACCTTTTTTCATTCTACCATCAGAGTTTCTATCAGATGGATGTGAGTAAGAGACTTGGCTCTAAAAGCCCCTGCTTAAATTACCTCTCAACATCAATTCTAAGGTTTTTTACCCTTGGGACTCATGCTTTATGTCCAGATCATCCTGGACAACATTGAGGAGACCCAAGCGCCTTCAAACCGGTTCTTTTGGCACCAGAGGAAGGTCTTGTCCTTTCAACATAGGCCATTGGACTGGGGTTGTGTTTATTCCGATATTCACAGCCATTGAGGAAAGAGGAAACAGGAAAAGCTTCTCTGCTTCAAACTCCTTGGACTTCTGAGATTGTAAAGTATATTTCCTTTATCCCCGTTGAAACATCAAGCTTATGCCTAAGAAAGATAACTCTTTGTGATCAATAAATCTTATTTTGAGTTATCTACAGTGTTTTGGGTCTTTTGGGAGTTCCAGTTTCCTAAAGGAGGGCAAGAAGCAATCCCCTGGGGAAAGATGCCACGTCCATGCCTCTTTCACTAAGAGCTATAGCCCCCAGGCGTGACGGCACAGCCATAGACACACAACAAATATATAGAGACACACAGAGGCTATTTAACTTTCCAGCTTCATGAGGGTATGTTTCCAATTCTGGCCACCGAGGGAGCTGTCGCTTCACCGTCCACTTGTGACACTGATGGAGTACTTCTTCATTCTTTTGCATGCTGCTGGAAAGTTTTATGGCGCCGTTGTTTTTGTTCATTCGTTCAGTCGTTTCCGACTCTTCGTGACTTCATGGACCAGCCCACGCCAGAGCTCCCTGTTGGCCGTCACCACCCCCAGCTCCTTCAAGGTCAATCCAGTCACTTATGTGACTGGATTTCAATTTTAACTTTACATTTGGTCTTCTCACAGTTTTAATTGTGTGTTGTCTTATTGTTAATTGCATATTTTATTGTCTATGTTTTTATTTTTAATTTCTTGTATTGTTATTGTTATTGCTTGTATTGTTGTATTGGGCTCAGCCTCATGTAAGCCGCACCAAGTCCCTTGGACAGATGGTAGTGGGGTACAAATAAAGTATTATTATTATTATTATTATTATTATTATTATTATTATTATTATGGTGCCATAAATTATTTAAATTAGCCTCCCCGCATAAGCAGTACCTACATTTCCTATTTGACAGATGCAACTGTCTTTCAGGCTGCAAAGGTCGACAGCAAGCTAGACAAATGGTCGGGAGCTTACTCCGATCCGGGCTGACTTTGAACTCATTACCTTTTGGTCAGTAGTTATTTTTAATGAAGCTGACTCCCAACCAACTGCGCCACAACCCAGTCCAACAAACAAACAAACAAACAATATATATATATACACACACATGCACATGCATTATAATATATAGGGGTCCAAAACACCTGGAAGGACGACCCAAGTTTGGCCATGACTGGTCTGTAAAAATAAGATGAGGAACCCCTATGGCCCTCCAGATGTTAGTAGGCCCCAGATCTCATTAGCACCAGCCAGGGATGAAAGTAGCGACCTATCAACATCTGGGAGGTCATAGAGCTTCTCCATCCACTCCTATGGAACTAGCTAAGCATTATCCTCTGGACTGAAAGACATTCCTCCCGCCTGCCCAAAGCCTTTCTCACTTTGTCTCCTCCAGCTCTTCTGTCCTCTGGATGGCGTCCGTTTCGTATTTGGTGCGCCATGTGGTGACTTCAGTGTTGAGCTTGGAGACTAGGCGCTGCAGCTCGGCTTTGCCGGATTGCTCTTCCTCCAGTTGCTCTTTGATCAAGTCCAGGTCGTGCTTGGTGTTGGCCAGGCTGACCACCGCAGCACTTCGAGCCTGTGGATATCCAAGGCATGGTCAGACAACCCACTTCTCATCTACAGTAACACCTTGACTTAAGAGTTCAATCCGCTGTGTGACCAAGCTCTTAACTCAAAGCAAATCCCCATTGAAATGCTATTACTCTGTTCCGCTCCCTAACAAAACCCAACTTTTTGTTAAGTGCTCATAAATAAGAAAATATATAACTAATAATGTAGCAGATCCTACCCACTTCTCATCTACAGTAACACCTTGACTTAACGAGTTTAAGTCGCCTTGTGACCGAGCTCTTAACTCAAAGCAAATCCCCATTGAAATGCTATTACTCTGTTCCGCTCCCCAATAAAACCCAACTTTTTATAGTGCTCTTGAATAAGAAAATATATAACTAGTAATGTAGCAGATCCTACCCACTTCTCATGTACAGTAATACCTTGAAAATACATAACTAATAATGTATTGTGACCATCACAATAAAATTCATTCAATTTAAAAAAAAGAAAAATCAACTTAAAAATGGTAGAAGCACAAAGCAACACAAAGTAAAGAGGCAGAAGCATCTTTTTCTTTTCCATCCTGTCCTAATTCCAGCCTCCTTCCCTCTCTCCCTCTCTTTCTCTCTCTCTCTCTTTTCCTTCAAAAAGCTAAACATACCGGGAATAAAACCACACAAAATCAACTAACCCAAAGTTCCTCAAAGTGGAGAACAGTATGAGGCACACACAAGGCCCAGAGGCTGCTCCTTGAATCCCTAAAGACCTGTTATCTGGCACTCATTCATAACTCAAAATGCTGCTCGTATGTCAAAGCGCAATGAGCAACGGCTCTTAAAATGATCGTGACTTGGGACACTCTTAAGTAAAGGTTCCACTGTATTTTGCTTCCTCTGTTTGAAAATGTCAGCCCCATTTCTACAAAGCGAATGCACTCTAGGCTCAGTTTAAGGGTGTGTGTGTGTTACATGGGCTTCACTTTGGTTACCCTTACCTTTGACTCTTCGTCCAGCTGCCGCTTGAAGTCATCCACCTGGGAGGTGAGGGAAGTCTTGATGCGGAAAATTTGGTTCAGCCGCCCCTGGCTCTCCTCGTGCTCTCGGCTCAGTTCGCTATTCTCAGCTACGGTAAGAGAGAGGAGAATTAAAGAAATACTTGAGAGAAGACGGATTCATGGCATGGCTACCTTGAGGACGTTAACTCCCAGTGACACTTCTGGGGGTGGTTATATCTGGTGGGTGGTCTGGTCGTTCTGTGACTTCTGGTGGGGCTTCTGGGGGTATTCTGGGGGTCCTTGGGGCTGGGGGCTGGGGGTGGTCTGGGTAATCTGGGTCTGGTGGGGTTTCTGGGTGGGGGGTCTGGGGTGTCTGGGGGGGAGTTCTGGGGGGGGGCTGGTGGGGTGTTCTGGCTGGCCCAAATCTGGGTCTGGGGGGGAATTTTCCCTGGCCTCGGCTCGAGCCAGAGAAGCCAGTTTTAAACCAGAGAAAAAAAGCCCTGGGCTCGGCTCAAGCCAGAGAAGCCATTTTAAACCGTGAAAAGGAAGGAATTTCCTGGCCTCGGCTCAAGCCAGAGAAGCCAGTTTTAAACCAGAGAAGGCAGAATTTCCTGGCCTCGGCTCAAGCCAGAGAAGCCAGTTTTAAACCAGAGAAGGAAGGAATTTCCTGGCCTCGGCTCAAGCCAGAGAAGCCAGTTTTAAACCAGAGAAGGAAGGAATTTCCTGGCCTCGGCTCAAGCCAGAGAAGCCAGTTTTTAAGCCTGAGAAGGAAGGAATTTCCTGGCCTTGGCTCAAGCCAGAGAAGCCAGTTTTTAAGCCTGAGAAGGAAGGAATTTCCTGGCCTCAGCTCAAGCCAGAGAAGCCAGTTTTAAACCAGAGAAGGAAGGAATTTTCTGGCCTCAGCTCAAGCCAGAGAAGCCAGTTTTTAAGCCTGAGAAGGAAGGAATTTCCTGGCCTTGGCTCAAGCCAGAGAAGCCAGTTTTTAAGCCTGAGAAGGAAGGAATTTCCTGGCCTTGGCTCAAGCCAGAGAAGCCAGTTTTTAAGCCTGAGAAGGAAGGAATTTCCTGGCCTCAGCTCAAGCCAGAGAAGCCAGTTTTAAACCAGAGAAGGAAGGAATTTTCTGGCCTCAGCTCAAGCCAGAGAAGCCAGTTTTAAACCAGAGAAGGAAGGAATTTCCTGGCCTCGGCTCAAGCCAGAGAAGCCAGTTTTAAAGCCAGAGAAGGAAGGAATTTCCTGGCCTCGGCTCAAGCCAGAGAAGCCAGTTTTAAACCAGAGAAGGAAGGAATTTCCTGGCCTCAGCTCAAGCCAGAGAAGCCATTTTTAAACCAGAGAAGGAAGGAATTTCCTGGCCTCAGCTCAAGCCAGAGAAGCCAGTTTTAAACCAGAGAAGGAAGGAATTTCCTGGCCTCAGCTCAAGCCAGAGAAGCCAGTTTTTAAGCCTGAGAAGGAAGGAATTTCCTGGCCTTGGCTCAAGCCAGAGAAGCCAGTTTTTAAGCCTGAGAAGGAAGGAATTTCCTGGCCTCAGCTCAAGCCAGAGAAGCCAGTTTTAAACCAGAGAAGGAAGGAATTTTCTGGCCTCAGCTCAAGCCAGAGAAGCCAGTTTTTAAGCCTGAGAAGGAAGGAATTTCCTGGCCTTGGCTCAAGCCAGAGAAGCCAGTTTTTAAGCCTGAGAAGGAAGGAATTTCCTGGCCTTGGCTCAAGCCAGAGAAGCCAGTTTTTAAGCCTGAGAAGGAAGGAATTTCCTGGCCTTGGCTCAAGCCAGAGAAGCCAGTTTTTAAGCCTGAGAAGGAAGGAATTTCCTGGCCTCGGCTCAAGCCAGAGAAGCCAGTTTTAAACCAGAGAAGGAAGGAATTTTCTGGCCTCAGCTCAAGCCAGAGAAGCCAGTTTTTAAGCCTGAGAAGGAAGGAATTTCCTGGCCTCGGCTCAAGCCAGAGAAGCCAGTTTTTAAGCCTGAGAAGGAAGGAATTTCCTGGCCTTGGCTCAAGCCAGAGAAGCCAGTTTTTAAGCCTGAGAAGGAAGGAATTTCCTGGCCTCAGCTCAAGCCAGAGAAGCCAGTTTTAAACCAGAGAAGGAAGGAATTTCCTGGCCTCAGCTCAAGCCAGAGAAGCCAGTTTTAAACCAGAGAAGGAAGGAATTTCCTGGCCTCAGCTCAAGCCAGAGAAGCCAGTTTTAAACCAGAAAAAGAAGGAATTTCCTGGCCTCAGCTCAAGCCAGAGAAGCCAGTTTTAAACCAGAGAAGGAAGGAATTTCCTGGCCTCGGCTCAAGCCAGAGAAGCCAGTTTTAAACCAGAGAAGGAAGGAATTTCCTGGCCTCGGCTCAAGCCAGAGAAGCCAGTTTTACCAGAGAAGGAAGGAATTTCCTGGCCGGCTCAAGCCAGAGAAGCCAGTTTTTAAGCCAGAGAAGGAAGGAATTTCCTGGCCTCGGCTCAAGCCAGAGAAGCCAGTTTTAAACCAGAGAAGGAAGGAATTTTCTGGCCTCAGCTCAAGCCAGAGAAGCCAATTTTTAAGCCTGAGAAGGAAGGAATTTCCTGGCCTCAGCTCAAGCCAGAGAAGCCAGTTTTAAACCAGAGAAGGAAGGAATTTTCTGGCCTCAGCTCAAGCCAGAGAAGCCAGTTTTTAAGCCTGAGAAGGAAGGAATTTCCTGGCCTTGGCTCAAGCCAGAGAAGCCAGTTTTAAACCAGAGAAGGAAGGAATTTCCTGGCCTCAGCTCAAGCCAGAGAAGCCAGTTTTAAACCAGAGAAGGAAGGAATTTCCTGGCCTCGGCTCAAGCCAGAGAAGCCAGTTTTAAACCAGAGAAGGAAGGAATTTCCTGGCCTCAGCTCAAGCCAGAGAAGCCAGTTTTAAACCAGAGAAGGAAGGAATTTCCTGGCCTCGGCTCAAGCCAGAGAAGCCAGTTTTAAACCAGAGAAGAAAGGAATTTCCTGGCCTTGGCTCAAGCCAGAGAAGCCAGTTTTTAAGCCTGAGAAGGAAGGAATTTCCTGGCCTTGGCTCAAGCCAGAGAAGCCAGTTTTTAAGCCTGAGAAGGAAGGAATTTCCTGGCCTTGGCTCAAGCCAGAGAAGCCAGTTTTTAAGCCTGAGAAGGAAGGAATTTCCTGGCCTCAGCTCAAGCCAGAGAAGCCAGTTTTAAACCAGAGAAGGAAGGAATTTTCTGGCCTCAGCTCAAGCCAGAGAAGCCAGTTTTTAAGCCTGAGAAGGAAGGAATTTCCTGGCCTTGGCTCAAGCCAGAGAAGCCAGTTTTTAAGCCTGAGAAGGAAGGAATTTCCTGGCCTTGGCTCAAGCCAGAGAAGCCAGTTTTTAAGCCTGAGAAGGAAGGAATTTCCTGGCCTCAGCTCAAGCCAGAGAAGCCAGTTTTAAACCAGAGAAGGAAGGAATTTTCTGGCCTCAGCTCAAGCCAGAGAAGCCAATTTTTAAGCCTGAGAAGGAAGGAATTTCCTGGCCTTGGCTCAAGCCAGAGAAGCCAGTTTTAAACCAGAGAAGGAAGGAATTTCCTGGCCTCAGCTCAAGCCAGAGAAGCCAGTTTTAAACCAGAGAAGGAAGGAATTTCCTGGCCTCGGCTCAAGCCAGAGAAGCCAGTTTTAAACCAGAGAAGGAAGGAATTTTCTGGCCTCAGCTCAAGCCAGAGAAGCCAGTTTTTAAGCCTGAGAAGGAAGGAATTTCCTGGCCTCGGCTCAAGCCAGAGAAGCCAGTTTTTAAGCCTGAGAAGGAAGGAATTTCCTGGCCTCAGCTCAAGCCAGAGAAGCCAGTTTTAAACCAGAGAAGGAAGGAATTTCCTGGCCTCGGCTCAAGCCAGAGAAGCCAGTTTTAAAGCCAGAGAAGGAAGGAATTTCCTGGCCTCGGCTCAAGCCAGAGAAGCCAGTTTTAAACCAGAAGGAAGGAATTTCCTGGCCTCGGCTCAAGCCAGAGAAGCCAGTTTTAAAGCCAGAGAAGCCAGTTTTAAACTAGAGAAAGAAGGAATTTCCTCCGTTTGCTTTTCCAAGCTGAGAAGCCAGTTTTAAGCCAGAGAAGCCAGTTTTAAGCCAGAGAAGCCAGTTTTAAACCAGAGAAGGAAGGAATTTCCTCTGCTTTCTTTTCCCCACTTCTGGAGTAAAACAACTACTTTCAAAGTAAAGACCACCCAATGAAAGAGGAAATAACACTTTCAAACCATTAACGAAAGGCTTCAGAAGTCTCTGAAGTTTCGAAATGTTTTGAATTTTTTTTCTGTGAAAATCGGAATTGACTTTAGAATTGCACCGCCTACATCCAAAACAAGTTTTGAACCTTTTTTTTGTGGATCAATCAAGTCTACTATTCAAATTTTGTATCTGTAACAGATGACTGATGATATTCTGTATTGGCTCCTTAGTTACAAACATGTATCTATCTAAACAATATCGTTGGCTCAACATCCTCAACCCAGCAGACCAAAGTTGGCTGGAGATGATGGCAGCTGTAGTCGAATGGATTGGGTCAAAGAAATGTCTGAATCAACGGAGAATGAACTGACCTTGGAGCCGGGAGCGGATAGCATTGATCTCGGCTTGGTTCTTCTCCAGCTCAGACAGTCGGGCATTGGCTTCGGACAGGTTGTCTTCCAGTTTGCGGACGTGAGCCTCAGCGTTTAGCTGCAAAAGGCACAGAGCAGAGACTGTGACTGAGATAATGTACCTGGCGGTTGTGTCATCTGGTGGATTCTGGGATCTGTACTCTAACTGAGTCATCTTTCCAAGGTCTGCTCCCTCCTTGCAACTGTTTATGAAAAGAACTATCATATAAATAATTTTCCAAGCTCTGTTGACTTTGTCCAATGGGATACTGAAGGAGGGACCTTGGAGTGCATTGCTATCTTATTGCTTGCGTTGCCACCCAAAATCTAGGACCCGTTGAGTCTGAAGCCTCATCTCCTTACAGAGAATCTTGAGAAATCCAATTCGCACTAGACAGTTATAATACTACTAGCTGTACCCTGCCACGCGTTGCTGTGGCCTATAGTAAATCTTTCCAAAGTAGAGGTAGATATCTGGAGTATTATGAAAGAGAGGTACCTACCCATTCCTTCCCCCTTTTTCTCCCCCTTTCTCTCCTTTCTTCCTTCTCTACCTCTTTCTTTCTTTCCTTCTTTTGCTCCTTGGTTTCATCCTTCTCGCTTTCCTTCATTCCCTCCCCCTTTCTTCCTTTGCCTCCTTTCTTCCCTCCATGTTTCCTTCCTTCTTTCATTTTTTATTTCCTTTTCTCCTTCCTTCTTTACCTCTTTCCTGCCTTTCCTTCCTTTTATTTTTCTTTCCTTTCTACTTTCTCTTCTTTCTTCCTTCGGTACCTCTTTCTTTCCTGCCTTCCCTCCTTCCTTTTATTTATTTATTTATTTACTTCGCTTATATACCGCAATTCTCAGCCCTTTAGGGCGACTCATTGCGGTGCCTTTCTTCCTTCCCAATGCTTACCAAACCCTTCTCGTGCTTTCTGTTGGTCATGGGAGTCCTGTGTGCCACGTTTGGTTTAATTCCGTCGTTGGTGGAGTTCAGAATGCTTTGATTATAGGTAAACTATAAATCCCAGCAGCTTCAACGGAGGGGGGTGGGAGGAGGAGGAGTGCAGGGCGGGGCGTCGGTGGGTGTGGGCGGGGCTTCAGCAGAGGAAGGAGGGAGGTGCGGAGGGTGCGTTGGCTGTTTGGCCATGTGCGTGCGCCGAGGACTTTGCGCCATTGCGCATGCTCAGTTATTTTGTCCTTTTGTGAGTGTGTTGTTGTGTTGTTTTATATTTTGATTTGATATGTTTGTACCTTGTGGGTTGAGGTATGTGCATGGGAATTTTGGTTAATCTTCGTTGGGTGGTTTTTGAGTTTTGCTGTCCCGTTGGATGCCCCTTACAGATTTATATATATAGATGATTCCAATTTGGCTGCCATAATAATAATAATAATAATAATAACAACAACAACGATAGAAACAATAATAATAATTTTATTTCTTACCAACCTGTCCTCATGGCTCAAAGTGGATAAGAAATAACATTGTTGTTGTTGTTGTTATGCTTATTTATAGGGTCCTAACTGACCCTATAAATAATAACAACAACAATAATAATTTTATTTCTTATCTGCCTCTACTCGTGGCTCGAGGTGAATAAGAATTAACATTGTTGTTGTTGTTTCACATTGTTGTTGTTATTCTTCTTCTTTATAGGGTCCTTAGTTGCCCTATAAATAACAATAACAAGAATAACAATTTTATTTCTTATCTGCCTCTACTCGTGGCTCAAAGTGGATAAGAAATAACGTTGTTGTTGTTGATATTGTTATTATTCTTATTTATAGGGTTCTAATTGGCCCTATAAATAACAACAACAACAATTTTATTTCTTACCCAACTCTCCTCTTGGCTCAAAGTGGATAAGAAATAACATTGTTGTTGTTGCTGTTGTTGTTGTTGTTGCTGTTGGTTTTATTATGCATGCTAACTGGCCCTATAAACAACAACAACAACAACAATTTTATTTCTTACCCACCTCTCCACGTGGCTCAAGGTGGATAAGAAATAACATTATTGTTGTTGTTGTTATTTATAGGATCCAAACTGGCCCTATAAATAACAACAACACCAACAACAATTTTATTTCTTACCCAACTCTCCTCATGGCTCGAGGTGGGTTATGGCATAATTAAAACACATAAATATTTTAAACATTCTATTAATATACACTTTTTTTTGTCATGTCAGGAGCGACTTGAGAAACTGCAAGTCGCTTCTGGTGTGAGAGAATTGGCCGTCTGCAACGACATTGCACATTTCTATATAAGATACATATTGCCGTTAAATATGAGCAAGCTGTATTGAGGGGTGAGGTCTCTAAGCTCCTTGTAAAACAGGCACAAGATGTTTTGGACCTCCAGATGTTTTGGACTTCAACTCCCACCATTCCTGTTAGGAATGGTGGGAGTTGAAGTCCAAAACATCTGGAGGGCCAAAGTTGCCCTGTGTCTGTTCTACAAGATGTTTTGGACCTCCAGATGTTTTGGACTTCAACTCCCACCATTCCTGTTAGGAATGGTGGGAGTTGAAGTCCAAAACATCTGGAGGGCCAAAGTTGGCCCATGCCTGTTCTGAAAGTTCCTCCTCCTCTTTGTTTTGGACTTCAACTCCCACCATTCCTGTTAGGAATGGTGGGAGTTGAAGTCCAAAACATCTGGAGGGCCAAAGTTGGCCCATGCCTGTTCTGAAAGTTCCTCCTCCTCTTTGTTTTGGTACCTTGGATTTCTGGACGGTCTCCACGCTGGCGCTGAGGTCCTCGATCTCCGCCTTGAGGACCTGCTTGTCCTTCTCCAGCTTGGACTTCACCCTCTGCAGGTTCTCCAGGTGCTCCGTCATCTCGGCCATGGCGTCCGTGTGCTTCTTGCGCAGGGTGGAGGCGGTGGCCTCGCTCTGCAAGGCGGCTTCTTCCAATTCCCTCCGCAGCTTCAGGAGTTCAGCCTCGCGCTTGCGGTTCTGCTCGATCTGAAAGGCGGAACACAAAATCCAAAAGCATAACATGAATCCAAAGGCGTGTCCATTAACATGAAGACAGGAACTTTTCCAGGGTAAATTCTCCAAAGATACATAAGCATAAATACATAGGAACATGAAACAGGAACCGTGACAATACGAAAGACAAGAACTGGGAATCATAAACAGGAAACCGATCTCCTTTAGCAACATTGTCTCCTCTGAAAGGCCTGAAACAAAACACTTAATTTAAGCCTTCCAAGAGACCTCATCACACTAGAGAATGAATCCACTTTAAATCAGGTTGCTGCTTCCTGCAGAATCCTGGGATTTGTAGTTTAGGGAGGAGCCTTTAACAGACTCACTAAACTACAAACCCCAGAATTCTGCAAGAAGCAGAAACCAGATTTAAAGTGGATTCATTCTCTAGTGCGACGGAGTAGCAAGACACCCATGACATCATGACTAACACACCTGGACCTCAAGGTCTTATCTTGGTGAAAAGAGTATTTCAGTGCTAAGGTGTAACAGTTCGGATGAAAACTGAATCAGAGTTTTTCTAAACAGTGAGCAGATGGTACAGTTACACTCTGCTGACAACTGATAAGCACTCTGCTATGTATAGGTTTATTTTGACTTTCCCTGAGGCATTCACTCCAGTACGCAGCCTATCTAGGGAGAGCGTGATTGGGAAAAACTATAAATCACGCACCTATCCCACCTCAACAGTCTTCACAATGGAGATAACAACCTACTGGATGGATGGATGGATGGATGGATGGATGGATGGATGGAGAAAAGAACTGGGAATCATAAACAGGAGACCAATCTCCTTTAGCAACGTTGTCTCCTCTGAAAGGCCTGAAACAAAACACTTAATTTAAGTCTTCCAAGAGACCTTATCACACTAGAGAATGAATCCACTTTAAATCCAGTTGCTGCCTCCTGCAGAATCCTGGGATTTGTACTTTAGGGAGGAGCCTTTAACAGCCTCACTAAACTACAAACCCCAGAATTTTGCAAGAGGCAGAAACCAGATTTAAAGTGGATTCATTCTCTAGTGCAATAAAGTAGCAAGACACCCATGACATCATGACTAGCACACCTGGACCTCAAGGTCTTATCTTGGTGAAAAGTGTGTTTCAGTGCTAAGGTGTAACAGTTTGGATGAAAACTGAATCAGAGTTATAATAATAATAATAATAATTATTATTATTATTATTATTATTATTATTAATCTGATCAGTCATATGACCATTTCAAAATAGAACACGAGTAAAAAACAAGGCAAAAAGCTGAATCAGAGTTATCGAAGGCTTCCATGACTGGAATTACTAGGTTGTTGTAGGTTTTTCGGGCTATATGGCCATGTTCTAGGATGCCTGCCATAGATGCAGGTGAAACGACAGGAGAGAATGCTTCTAGAACACGGCCAAATAGCCCAAAAAACCTATAACAACCCAGTGAATCAGAGCTTTTCTAAACAGTGAGCAGCACAAAGTCAGATGGTGTAGTTACACTCTGCTGACAACTGATAAGCACTCTGCTATGTATAGGTTTATTTTGACTTGCCCTGAGGCATTCACTCCAGTGCACAGCCTATCCAGGGAGAGCGTGATTGGGGAAAACTATAAATCACGCATCTATCCCACCTCAGCAATCTTCACAATGGAGATAACAAACTACCAAATGGATGGATGAAGACGTACCTGAGCAGTGGTGGCCCCGCCAGCCTCTTCCAGTCGGTCAGAAAGCTCTTCCAGTTCCCGGGAGATGTCACTGCGTTGTTTCTCCACCTGAAGGAGAACGAGAAAGTAAAATATGAACACCGTCATGCCCAAACCCTACTTTGTATGGTTGCACTGGTTAAGGATGATGGGAATTGTAGTGTTCCTCTAGATCAGGCATGGGCCAACTTTGGCCCTCCAGGTGTTTTGGACTTCCACAATTCCTAACAGCCTACTGGAGGAGCCCAAAACACCTGGAAGGCTGAAGTTGGCTCATACTGCTATAATACAATTTTCCCCATGTTTTAATGATAGAGCCAATTAGGAAATGACATTTATGACTTAGGAACAAAAACCTCATTACATGGTGTAATTGCCCATTCAAGCTTCCTACACGGCTTCCTTTTGTCTCTTTAATAAAGCATAATTCGGAGCATGTTAACCCTGGCCAACACACATTTTGTTTAGCTCTGTTTCTGGGTATCTTTGGTCTGCTGATTCCAAAAATGGCAGCAGTTTTTCCCTATCAGCGCTAGTTTTTGACATCCAGGACATTTGGAATCTATTAGTTGCTAACTACCCATAGAAAACTACAATCACAATATCTAAAGAAGTTGATGTGTCTATCCAATGCCATAATTTGAACCTGTACTGAAGATACTTCAGCTTTAGTGGTCCAAATGTCCATGCTGCTAGCTGTGAAATAGTTAATTTGTGGAACATTATGAAGCATGCATGGACAAGGAAAATGTTGCAGTAGACTAGGAGGCTGGGCACTGAATTAATGAACTGATAATAGTGGGGTATAAATATAGCAGACGCCATTTGTTCTGTCTCTGTCTCTTCAATCGTGACCGTCTAACGAGTAAGCGTCACTGCAATTAATTTATTTTTCCATGTCAGGAGTGACTTGAGAAACTGCAAGTCGCTTCCAGTGTGAGAGAATTTGCCATCTGCAAGGACGCTGATTAAAGAGACACCCAGATGTTTTAATGTTTTACCATCCTTGTGGGAGGCTACTCCCATGTCCCCGCATGGGGAGCTGGAGCTGACAGAGGGAGCTCACCCGCACTCTCCCCAGATTCTAACCTCCGACCTGTTGGTCTTCAGTCCTGCCAGCACAAGGGTTTAACCCATTGTGCCACTAGGGAATCCTATATTGCAACGAATGAAATGTAAATACAGATAAGAGCCGCTTGTTGAAGCAGAAACAACTGTCTGTGTGATGGCGCCAGGGGTGCCACAACAGTATGTGTAGAACTGTTAGCTGCAAGATTTAAACTGTTGTATCATGTTTAATCCTGCCTTTTTACCCTGCTTATGTATAGTTGTATGGATTGGTTACTTATAGCTCTCAATCAGTACTGTTTGGCTCCACCTCTTCCTGCAGGAGGGGAGTGCTTCCTTTCTTTTCATTCTGCCATCAGAGTTTCTACCAGATGGGCGTGAGTAAGAGACTTGACTCTAAAAGACCCTGATTTAAATTATCTCTCAGTACCAGTTCTGAGGTTTTTTACCCTTGAGACTTGTGTTTCATGTTTAGACCAACCTGAACGACGTTGGAAGTCTCAAGCACCTTCAAACCGGTTCTTTTGGCACCAAAGGAAGATCCTGAGTCTTCAAACATAGGCCATTTGAACTGGGGTTGTGGTTTGCTCCGGCATTCACAGCCATTGAGGAAAGAGGAAACTTGGAAAGGCTTCTCAGCTTCAAACACCTTGGACTCAGGACTAACTGAGACTGTAACGTATATTTTCCTTCACCCCTCTGAAGTTTCCAGCTCATTGCTTTAAAGAAATAACTCTTTGTGATCAATAAAACTTATTTTGAGTTATTTACAGCGTTTTGGGTTTTTGAGAGTTCCAGTTTCCTATAGGAGGGCAAGAAGCAATCCCCTGGGGGAAAGATGCCACGTCCATCCCTCCTTCATTAAGAATTATAGCCTGCAGGCGCGACGGCACAGTCTGAAGTCAGTCAACTGAATGATAAGAAGCACGTTGGACAGCAAATTGAATTGATAGGCCTAACACTACGAGACCTTGTAGATGTTTTGTGAAGACGAGGCATTGAAAGAAGTCAAAGTGCTTCAAAACAAAGTGCTTCAAAACTTCCTTTCTTTTCATTCTGCCATCAGAGTTTCTACCAGATGGACATGAGTAAGAGACTTGACTCTAAAAGACCCTGATGTGGTGAGTCGCTTCCATGACTTACCTTCGCCCTTATAGAACGTTCAGATTCAAGCTCTTCCTCCAGTTCTTCAATTCGGGCCTGTCAAAAATACACGAACGTGTGAGCAATATTTCTGCACATCATGGTAGCTGCACCTATTAGTTAATGATTGATAAAGATTTTCTTAGGATGATCAGAGTTTGATCATCCTAAGAGTTGCTGCACCCTTTCCTACATCATTCAGCAAAATCCCTGCAAGCTTGTTCCAGCAACAATACAGTATGACCCTATATCAGCGTTTCTCAACCTGGGGGTCGGGACCCCTGGGGGGGGGGTCATGAGGGGTTGTCAGAAGGGTCGCCAAAGACCCATCAGGAAGGTGGAAGGTGAACTACATCTCCCCTAAATCACATCCCAAATCCCTCCAATACGTTCTGTTGGTCATGGAGGTTCTGTGTTGGAAGTTTGGCCCAATTCTATCGTTGGTGGGGTTCAAGGGACTATAGGTGAACTATAAAACCCAGCAACTACAACTCCCAAATGAGACAGGAAAGCATGGGTGACCATCCCTTCACGGTAGAGCAGCATTTCTCAACCTGGGAGTCGTGACCCCTGGAGGGGTCACCAGGGAGTGTCAGAGGGGTTGCCAAAGACCATCAGAAAACACAATATGTTCTGTTGGTCATGGGGGTTGTGTGTGGGAAGTTTGGCCCAATTCTATCGTTGGTGGGGTTCATAATGCTCTTTGATTGTAGGTGAACTATAAATCCCAGTAACTACAACTCCCAAATGTCAAGGTCTATTTTCCCCAAACTCCACCAGAGTTCACATTTGGTCATATTGAGTATTTGTGCCAAGTTTGGTCCAGATCCATCATTGCATGAATTCACAGCACTCCTCTGGATATAGGTGAACTACAACTCCCAAACTCAAGGTCAATGCCCACCAAACCCTTCCAGTGTTTACTGTTGGTTATGGGAGTTCTGTGTGGGAAGTTTGGTCAAATTCTATTGTTAGTTGGTTTCTGAAAGCTCATTGATTGTAGGTGAACTATAAATCCCAGTAACTACAACTCCCAAATGTCAAGGTCTATTTTCCCCAGACTACACCAGTGTTCACATTTGGGCATATTGAGTATTTGTGCCAAGTTTGGTCCAGATCTATCGTTGTTTGAGTCCACAGTGCTCTCTGGATGTAGGTGAACTACAACTCCAAAACTCAAGGTCAATGCCCACCAAACCCTTCCAGTGTTTTCTGTTGGTTATGGGAGTTTGGTCAAATTCTATTGTTGGTGAGTTTCTGAAAGCTCATTGATTGTAGGTGAACTATAAATCCCAGTAACTACAACTCCCAAATGCAAAGCTCGATTTTCCCCAGACTACACCAGTGTTCACATTTGGGCATATTGAGTATCCGTGCCAAGTTTGGTCCAGATCTATCGTTGTTTGCTCTCTGGATGTAGGTGAACTACAACTCCAAAACTCAAGGTCAATGTCCACCAACGCTTCCAATATTTTATGTTGGTGTGTCAAGTTTGGTTCAATTCCATCGTTGGTAGAGTTCCGAATGCTCTTTGATTGTAGGTGAACTATAAATCCCAGCAACTACAACTCCCAAATGACAAAATCAATCCCTACCAGTATTCAAATCTGGGCGTATTGGGTATTTGTGCCAAATTTGGTCCACTGAATTAAAATACATCTTACATATCACTTATTTACATTATAATTCCTAACAGTAGCAAAATTGCAGTTATGAAGTAGCAATGAAAATAATTTCATGGTTGGGGGTCAGCACAACATATAAAACTGTATTAAGGGGTCATGGCATCAGAAAGGTTGGGAACCACTGCCCTATATCCATGGCTTCTAGGTCTTCCGGTGTAACTCTACGGCATTCTTGGGCCAGAAGTCTTTCATTTCAATAGGGGTTCCCGTTAGCCATACCCATGCAAAGTCTGGGGATATATCTCCATGGATCAATGTCTGCTTCTGGAGCTGGCCAGATGGCCTCCCAGTGTCATACATCCTTAGCCTTAGCCGTAGAAATCCACTTTATCTAATTCTGAGAATTAACCAGAGTGTCATCTTCTAGCCCGATGTCCTGAGAGGGATCAGCTGCCCTTGAATGGCTAGCCAAAGAGACTTAGAGGGGAAAGGGGGTCAATGCAATGGGGCAGCCTTTCCAGCTGTCCTCCTCTCCCTTCCCTCCTACCTGATGCTCCTTGAGTTTCCTCTGCAGCGTGGAGTTCAGGGCTTGCTCATCCTCCACTTTGGAGTTGACGGAGTTGATCTCCATGTCGCGCCTGCAAAACAAAGGAGTCACAATTCAGGAATTGTGGGAGTTGAAGTCCAAAACACCTGGAGAAGAGCCGAAGTTTGTCCATGCCTGTGATAGAGCACACAGATCCAGAGTAGGTCCCTACAGTAACTTATGGACCCATCTCCAAGACTTTACTTCTGGAAGGCAATCATACCCTGCCATGAGGGATGTTGATGATGGTGGACATCTTAACACACATATCCCTACGTCTCCATGAAGGATGGGTTTTCATACACACACTTACTTCTTCACCACTTCTTCCAAGTCGAGCTTTGCTCTTTCCATTTCGTTGAGATTGTCGATGGTCATTTTCAAGTCGCCCTCAGCTTTGCGTCGGGCCTTCTCCACCTCAGCACGGATTTTCTTCTCTTGCTCCCAGTTGTCTTCCAACTGGTTCAGAGAATCCACAGAATGGACATTATCAGATGGAAGTCAATGAAACAATGGTTAGGCTGTCCTAGTCAATCCCAACCAGAGTCACATAATCTTGGCAATGGAAGTTCTAACCCATTTCCAAGATGATGGGACTCTAGTTGGGTCATCTAGCCCAGGAAGTCAATAAAACAATAGCTTGGCCGTCCTGGTTAATCCCAACCAGAGTCACATAATCTTAGCAATGGAAGTTCTAACCTATCTCCAAGATGATGTGACGCTAGTCGGGTCATCTAGCCCAGAAAGTCAATGAAACAATAGCTTGGCCGTCCTGGTTAATCCCAACCAAAGTCACATAATCTTAGCAATGGAAGTTCTAACCTATCTCCAAGATG